AGTCACTACTTTGTACGTAAAACTGTTGAAATATAAGACTATGAAAAATACGCAACTAGAAAGACTACAAATCCCAGAATCCCGGTCCCGCATGCTGGCTCGTACGGAACCGACTAACTCCCCTTGTGTGTGTGTACAGCTCTCAACATGCCCAGACTTGTAGTGATTTTCACCTCTTTTAATACTTTCCGCCTCATTCTGAAAGAAAGAAGTGAAATGTGCCAACGTGAGGCCGTCTTGGTGTGTGTGCGAGATGAAGTTCATTGAGCGGTTTCACACAAAAAAAGTGTTACTTCACAGTTTTACCACACATTTCTTTTTTTTGTACCTGCAAAATTATCTTTTAAATTGACAAACATCATATGTGTAATTCATGGCAACGGGATCGAAAGATAATCTTTCTCTCTCCATTGACTTCAATGCATACTTTTTTCTAAATAAGGTCCCATGGAGGTCCACCGGAAGGGGAGGGACTTCGCCTCTCTATATCTCGAAGTCAATCTGGTGTTTGATTGGCTAGGGGGGATGTGGTCAGGTCGGGTGGAAGTGAGCGTGCAGACAGAGTTGGAGGATGCTTGCAAGGGAACCATAAAGAATGCTGCTGCAGTAACTACGTCTGGATGTAATGAAGGCATGGATGAGAGTTTCAGGGGCGGTGAAGGAGAGGGAGGGCGATGTTCTTTAGGTGAAAAGGGCAGTATTGTGATTATGGTTCGGTACTGTGTTCACTTTGAAGCAACCTTTCTAAACGGCTGTTTGAACCACCTGATCCCAACAAACATTTGGTCAGAACAGGAAACACTTAAGTCCTCCCGGGATGAAGAGTAATCCCTTCAGTCCTGGTCAAACATGTGATTTTTAGAGGCTGGTGTTTGGTACGCTTAACTTCTTAACAGTGTTTTATGGCAGTGCAAATCTGAAGTCCCAGGCTCCTCCAACAACGCAACATAACATATAAGACATTAAACAATAAAACACGTTTAAAAATATAAACAAACACTGAAATAAAACCGTAGAAATGCAAAGTTGGAGAGGAGCTAGAGACACGGTGCCACACTAAGGACATGCAGATACAAAAGTAAAAACTCCAGGTTTTGAAGCCTTGGTTCTCATGAGCGTAGGTACGCTATCTCTGGATCTACCTCTGCAGAACAGGGAAAGGCTGAGGGCTAAAGGGAACATCAAAGACGCCTGAGGGGGACTTAGCACCTTCACAGGGACACAACCAGCATTGTTCTACAATTAATCCCAGCCTGCTCTATTACTTTCAGATTATCTTTAAGTGGGTGAAGTCTTTGTGGGGCATTAAGACTCTCCTTAATCTGCCTACACTTCAATGGCGGCCATGCTATCTTGTCCGGGTGGGGATGGCAGAGGCTTAGGGCCGCTCTTAGAAGGTGGTCTGCCTCGGCCGCAGGACAGTGTGAGAACTGTGACACAAGGGGAGGGACAACAAACATGAGCTGAAATCTCTTAAGCGCACAGGGAGACAAATAAAAGGATTTGGGTTGTCAGGGGGGCACAGGAGCTAAAAAGCTATCTTTCATAATCCTTTTGATAGTGGACCTTTGAAATGCATGATCTGGATGTTTTAACACAGGGTTCTCAAAGCACTATGAAGGGGAAAGGTCCCGGCAGAATGAGCTTGTGAAAGTTATACAAGAAAAACACAGCGAGTATCGCATTCTGGACTACACAATCACAGATGGAGAGATGAGAGGATAATCAGATTTAATGCAAGTTAAATTAGTTTTCCAGCTGGTTACCGTAGGTGTTTGGAGTTATTGCACACTATTGAAACTTACCCCCTGAGAAGGATGGTCATGGTAACGGAGTCGGGAGCCAGAGCGAGTCAAAGGGAGAAAATAAGAAGCTTTAAGTCAGAGAAAAGTAATGTGACACAAAGCGAACTGCATATATATATATATAATAACAACATCTAAACCACAACATGCTACATGCTACATGCTACATGCAATCTTTAGCCATATTGAGTACTCACAGAGGTGAAGTCCTGGTTCGACAACCCAAAAAGACACAAAAAAAAACGTTAGTGACACCATTTATCCAACCGCATGAAACACCTTGAGGTTTTTTTTTAAAAATAGTACCTTTTATTCGTTTGTTTCAGTTGTGATTTTGGTAATATTGAAGAAAAAATAACGGTTTATTACAACTCAGATCTTACGTGCATGGTTTTGGTTATTGTTATGACCAGTTTTGATCCAACAAAGAGATGGTTGGGATCTGTTAACACGGTGACATCACCATAACACACTATGGGACACAGGGCTGATTGGAAATCTGCAGAGCATCCCTTTAAAAGCCTGTTTACATAAAGATTAGGCAAATTAGAGCAATGACAAACTTTAAAAAAAAAAAAACGACTGTGGACAAATGTAATGTTCACACACGACTCAGCGGCGTGTTGTTCTCTATGTGCTGTTGCATGACGCTGCTGTTTGAATGGACGTAATGAAAGGAGGCTGAAAGCTCCTCCAACACAGTAGCAACGACCCGGTGAGGGTTTGACGTTGTTCGACTCGGTGTCCCAACGCAAAATGATAAGCTTAACGTTTTGTTTTCTCCAGCTTATCTTATTCACTGTCTAGCTTTCTCTGTCACATTCTCTATCTGTCGAGGAGTTGGGACGGCAATCCCTAACCGTGTTTCATATCAATAGAAGGTGATCCTGACTTTAGAGACACCCAACACTTTCCTATACGATGGATAAAGCTGTACTTAAAGGGGACCTATCATGCAAAATGCACTTTTGTACGTCTTTTATACATGAATATGTGTCCCCGGTGTTCCAGGGAACTCACCAAGTGTCAGAAAACACAACCCTCTCTATTTCCCTCCATACCCAAATCTCTTAAAAAGGGGCTGCAACGGATCTGATACAGACTGATCCAGATTTGAACACTTCTATGACGTCACAGAAGTGGCGCTACGGCTATTGGGCCAACTCCACCAATCAGGAGGAGACAGCCACGGACATTGCCGTTGGAAAGTGCTGGAGACGCTGTAGTACATATGCCAGGCCTGTAGATGGTGCTGTTCTCACAGAATCAGCCCATGCAAAGACAGTGTTAAATTGAGCGAAATGAGGAATGGCTCAAATGCATGATCTGTTTGGTATTTTGAAAAATAAAAAGTATAAATAAGCCTTATATAGGTATGGTCCTACACTATATTATTCAAATACCAAGCTGGTGTTCCTCTTCTAAATATCAAAAAATATTCTCCCGAAAAAACACCGACCGGATCTTAGAAAACACAAGTAAGGACATTTGTGACTATTTACTCCCGACACCCTGGTTCTCTATAAGTTTTTTCGGTAGATGTTTTGTCGTCTTTATCACCCAGGTTCACACACTAAGAATCTATCTCCCCCTCGAGACAACAAGTTGGAACCGAAGACTTTGAGAGCCAATTAGGACTAAACTACGTCAGAAAGAATACGTTGTTTTTGCCAGGTAATTTTAGGGAACCTCGGATCACTACCTTAAGTTCCAGAACGAAACACATGGTATCAAAATCCAAATTAAACCGTTGAGGAGGTACATCTTCGACCTGAGATTTTATACTTGTAATTGAAGTAATAGTACGTTTATAATAAACAGAGGTCCTCACATAAATTTGTCGGTTGTGTAAGCAAAAATCCCCTCAAAGGTAGGGACTACATTCGCCTGAGGAAAAGTAGCTTTGTTTGGATTTCCCCGGATAGTTATCGTTTTTCACCCGTTGAAACATTTGCAGAAACTAATGTACTTATACAAGGGGGCCACAAGGTCCCTTGAGTGGTATCCAGGTTTTTGGTTGGAGAGATAAAAAGGAGTATGGGTTGGTGAGATTTTTCCCGACGTTGTCTAGCTATGTCTGACTAGTCTAAACTTGTGAAGATATGCAGTTGTTTCTTCACCGCGATGCCGATAACCCGGTTGAGGGTTAGTCCTCCTCTGCGGTGCTGTAACGAAAACTTTCGCGACCTCTGCGACATCATGTATACGGTCCGAAATCTACCACCGACAAGAGTGTCTAGTCGGGGTTACGTTCTTGTCACAATTAACTCGGCTTACTCCTTACCGGATTTTACGTACTAACAAACCATAACAACTTTTATTTTTCATATTTATTACGGATATATCCATACCAGGATATGTTATAATAAGTTTTATGTTCTATCCACGGAAATTCGTAAAAAAAATAACTCTACAACCAGTTTCCAAAAATAAACCGGATTGAGAAGAGAATAGGGACAACTATCTCTGTATTGACCGTTGGTGTAGTTCAGTCCACGTCGAAGTATAGTCCCCTAAATACGCTTGTTTGTGTTTAGGATGAAATTATTGTGGTGTATCTTTTAGGTTCGGTTTATGAAAAAGAAAGAAGTCAAATTCCTCTG